TTACACTCTCGCGAGTAGCAATTGATGCATTTAATTCTCAGCTTCTAAATGGAGATAAGCCATCATCATTGCATTAAAATGGTCAGAATGATCAGATTGAGTAGGATAGAGCATGGTTTTAAAGTTTACTGACTTCAGGTTATTGAATAATTAGGTCAAACCCTATTTTTACGCTCTCGCAATTGTGCTCACTACAACGCAATGGTGAACATCGCCAGGGAAAAGTTGTTTTGTCAAGAAAGATCAATAAAAATCCACTTAAATCTCTAGAAACATGCTTTACCCCACTAATGTGATGATTATTACTTGTAATGAGTGTGTCAATCACTACTAAGTAAGATAATTGTGACTCGCAACTTGCGAGACTGCTGATCGGATTTTTGGCAATTTCTCAATAACTAAGCCTCTTAGGCCTTAAGTATGTTCATAGCACTAAGATAAACATGCATTTTAGGCACATTTTGGTTCATGGGTGAGTTTTGTATCTCAATCAGAAGCTGAGATAATTTATAGTGGGGGTCGCGATGTGGGTGTAGTCAGAAAGGGCGTGATACCGAGAAATGTCCCACTGGTGAAAAAGTGTATTCGAGTAAATAGTGTTATTTAGGGTAATATAAGTCGGATTACATCGAGAAACTTAGCAGAAGTCCCAATGTGAGCAGGATTGTTGCCAGGCACATGATTATAACTCATTCTAGACTTTACTATACCTTACGAGACATATTTAAAAGGTACGAAATTCCGTTGACCTAAATGATTTGGGACCGAAGATATTACACGATTACACGAAATAAAATATGAAATTTAAAAAATTACAAGTCAATTTCCTCTTGATCTTCTTGATCTTCTGGTTCAGGGACGTTTCTCTCTCCAGTGTAGTCCCAGATGTAATACTAGTGTTAATTTGTTAGATGAATCATATTGATAGCTTACTATAATCTTACTATATATAAAGCGAGACGATATATGTTTATCCGTGCCATTTTACTGACACCACGGCATCAACTTTAACGTTACTTTCCGCAAAAACCGTAAACGATATACAACTAAAACTTTTTTGACTGGGCCAAATGCTTTAATGGCCTCCAAATCAGCATGAAAAAATAAAAAATTGGCCAAGAAATAGAAGTTACAGAGCCCCAAATTTGGACCCCCAAGTGGTGTCAAAAACGCGAATTAAATAGATAATAATTATTTTAGTCTCTTGAGTCTTGACACCATTTTAGGGTTATACGGGTTCCTGCTAGTGATATTAAATCGACAAAGTCATAATGGGGGGGGGGGGTGTCACGTCCGTCTATGTCCGCTTGTCTCATAGAATCCAAAAAGGACAGGACATAGGCGGACATAGGCGGACATAGGCGGACATAGACGGACATAGGCGGACATAGGCGGACATAAGCGGACATAGGCGGACATTAATGGACACCTAAATTGCTAAATAAAATGTTCAATTTTTGCTGTTATAGGGGGATCATGTTTTTTGTCCGTTCGGTACCCTATATTTTCAAAACGGACAAAAAATAGAGCGGACAAAAACGGACAAAAATGGACAAAAACGGACAAAAATGGAAATAACATTTAGATGCTTCCTCCTCCTACTCTTCCTCCTCCTCCCCCTGGGTCTTCCTGATCTTCCTCAGTCCTCTTCCTCCTCTCCTCCTCAAATCCTCAGTCCTACTTCTCCTCCTCGTCCTCAGTCCTCCTCATCAGTCCTCAACAGTCCTCCTCCTCCCCAGTCCTCCTCCTCCTCCTGAGTCCTCCTCCTGGGTCCTCCTCCTGGGTCCTTATCCTCCTCTTCATCCTCCTCCTCTTCCTCCTCAGTCCTCAGTCCTCCTCAGTCCTCCTTCTCATCCTTCTCCTCAGTCCTCCATCCTCCTCCTCAGTCCTCCCCCAGTCCCCCTCCTCCTCCTATTCAGTCCTCCTCCTCCTCCTCCTTCTCAGTCCTCCTCAGTCCTCCTCCTCCTCCTTCTCAGTCCTCCTCAGTCCCCCTCCTTCTCCTCCTCCTATTCAGTCCTCCTCCTCCTCCTCCTCCTCCTCTGTTCTCCTCAGTCCTCTTTCTCATTTCTCCTAAGTCCTCCTCCTGAGTCCTCCTCCTCTTCCTTCTGAGTCCTCCTCCTGAGTCCTCCTCCTCCTCCCTCTCAGTCATCCTCCTCAGTCATCCTCCTCAGCCAACCTCCCCAGCCATCCTCCTCAGCCATCCTCCTCAGTACTCCTCAGTCCTCCTCCTTCTCAGTCATCGTCAGTCCTCCTCCTCAGTCCTCCTCCTCCTCCTGGGTCCTCCTGGGTCTTCCTGATCCTCCCCAGTCCTCTTCCTCCTCCCCTCCTCAGTCCTCCTCCTACTCCTCCTCCTCGTCCTCAGTCCTCCTCATCAGTCCTCAACAGTCCTCCTCCTCCCCAGTCCTCCTCCTCCTCCTGAGTCCTCCTCCTGGGTCCTCCTCCTGGGTCCTTTTCCTCCTCTTCATCCTCCTCCTCTTCCTCCTCAGTCCTCAGTCCTCCTCAGTCCTTCTTCTCATCCTTCTCCTCAGTCCTCTATCCTCCTCCTCAATCCTCCCCCAGTCCCCTTCCTCCTCCTATTCAGTCCTCCTCTTTCTCAGTCCTCCTCCTCCTTCTCAGTCCTCCTCAGTCCCCCTCCTTCTCCTCCTCCTATTCAGTCCTCCTCCTCCTCCTCCTCCTCAGTTCTCCTCAGTCCTCCTTCTCATTTCTCCTAAGTCCTCCTCCTGAGTCCTCCTCCTCTTCCTTCTGAGTCCTCCTCCTGAGTCCTCCTCCTCCTCCCTCTCAGTCATCCTCCTCAGTCATCCTCCTCAGCCATCCTCCCCAGCCATCCTCCTCAGCCATCCTCCTCAGTACTCCTCAGTCCTCCTCCTTCTCAGTCATCGTCAGTCCTCCTCCTCAGTCCTCCTCAGTCCTCCTCCTCCTCCTGGGTCCTCCTCCTCCTCCTGGGTCCTCCTGGGTCTTCCTGATCCTCCCCAGTCCTCTTCCTCCTCCCCTCCTCAGTCCTCCTCCTACTCCTCCTCCTCGTCCTCAGTCCTCCTCATCAGTCCTCAACAGTTCTCCTCCTCCCCAGTCCTCCTCCTCCTCCTGGGGCCTTTTCCTGGGTCCTCCTCCTCCTGGGTCCTCCTCCTCCTGGGTCCTCCTTCTCCTCCTCCTCCTCAGTCCTCTTCCTCCTCTTCCTCCTCCTCCTCCCTCTCAGCCATCCTCCTCAGCCATCCTCCTCAGCCATCCTCCTCAGTCCTCCTCCTTCTCAGTCCTCCTCAGTCCTCCTCCTGAGTCCTCCTCCTCCTGAGTCATCCTCCTCAGTTCTCCTCCTCCTCCTCCTAGGTCCTGATCCTCCTTCTGGGTCCTCCTCCTCCTCCTCCTCCTGGGTCTTCCTGATCCTTCTCCTCCCTCTCAGTCATCCTCCTCAGTCATCCTCCTCAGTCATCCTCCTCAGCATCCTCCTCAGCCATCCTTCTCAGTCATCCTCCTCAGTACTCTTCAGTACTCTTCATTACTCTTCAGTCCTCAAAATGTTTGTCCGCTAATGTCCACCAATGTCCATCCAAGTCCGCCAATGTCCGTCCGGGTCCGCCAATGTCCGTCCGAGTCCGCCAATGTCCGTCCGAGTCCGCCAATGTCCGTCCGTGTCCGCCAATGTCCGTTCGTGTCCGCCAATGTCCCAAAAAACACGTCCGTTGTCTCATAGAATCCAAAAAGGACAGGACATAGGCGGACATAGACGGACATGACACCCCCCCCCCCCCCCCCCCCCCCCCCCCCCCCATAATGAAAGGAAATATGTGAAAAATATGGTGTTTAGTCCGAAAATATTCGGAAAACCTCCGCATTTCGTACCTTTTAGATATGTCTCGTAAGGTAATATAATACACTTTATCCTTAGCCTTATTAATGATTTAACCAAGTTTATTTGAGGTGTGAGAATCAGCTTCCTACTTAGCTAATTCAAGTCACGATTTTCCCAAAAGCCATCGGATAACTTGAAGTTTGAGTTGATTCTGTCCAGTCAAGGAGATTAAACCGTTTGGTTTGCTGTTGACGCCTGATTGAGGCTGTAGGGAGCACATACTTATTACTTTATTAATAATGATATCGCTTGCTTGTAATAGAGCTAAAGCATGAAATTGTGCTGTGTAATGTGTATGAGTGGTAATTTCGCTCTGAGAATCAGGGTCAGTAGCTCAATTGGTAGAGCAAGAGACGCGAAATCTCGAGGTTCTGGGATCATTCCCCAGTTGTCCCTAGTTTTTCAGAGTTAATCATCACATATAGACAGCATGAGAGTAGGCCTGGCCATCTCGAAGTGATGTAATAGAGCTGAGTAATAGATATAACATCTGATTAGGCTATTATAGTAGTTTGTGTAACGGTCGATATATAACATGCAATTATTATTTAACGGTTAAGCATTGCAAAGGCTTGCACGCCTCAACTGGCCTCTAGGCAAGGTTGTGGCTAACCTCCGCAAGCATTTGGCCCGCTTTATATACTAGCTATTTCAACCGTATTCAGTGTGATTTTAGTGTAACTATGTGTGATTCTATTGTGATCTTAGTTGACTCTAGTTGTGATCTTGTCGTATAGATTTTAGTGTATCTTCATCGTTTACATTGCACTGCCCTATCTTATACACCTTGTCTCACTTCTACTCCTGAACTCAAATTATACAATAGAAGACGGGAAGCTACAAGGCTACAATATATTTGCGCTGGCCAAATTTGGTGTTTATTTCATTTTTTTTTTTTTGAAAAAAGAGACACCTGGTCTTTCGGGTTTTGTTCTATAAAATATACCTGATATTTGTGTTAAAGATTCGCCTTTTTCAAGAATCTTATTAACATTCCCTAATCTTTCAGTTGAAATACGGATTCAAGTAATTTACAAATTTGTCTCGTATTTCTATATAGTGAGATATATCGTGTCTTAACTTTTAATATTAAGATTACGGTAGCCTCACCTAGGTTTCGTAATTAAATGTACGCCGAAGAAGCGCAGAGCGATAATGACGGGACGGAAGTTTCTTACACCCTCATAATTTACACTGGATCAAATCTTCCGAATGAGCCGTCAACAAAGAAGTGGAGCGATGGAACTATGATCTTAACAATAAACCCCGGGTCTAGTTTAACAGCATCGAAAAAGCTGAGGGTTAAAGACGACTTCTCTATGATGACGGAGGGAGTTGTGACGGCCGAATTTTGGCTTCCATCAAGTATTGGAGTGCCAAAGCTGTTGAAAGTAGACTTGGAAAGCAATCGCCTTGAGTTAATCAAGGATGCTTTATACGTGCGGGAAATAACTGTCGTCTACAACAGGGACCCTTACCGCTTCCCAGCTAAAAACTATCTCTATCCTCACAACCCAATTCATAACCCAAATGAACCAAGGAAGGGTTGTCCACCTCATCTTCTTATACGAGAAGGGGCAGGGACTCTAAAGCATCACGAGACTGAGGACTTCATTATCAAGGCAAGAGAAGAAGACATGAAAATAACCCACTCCATGGTTAGATGGAATATCGTGAAGGATGATTCAACAGCTCTGCTCTATCCTGGTTGTCTAGATGTCATGAAGTATGATAAGCTGCCTAGGTTCCTCAAGTTTAAAGAAGCAAACTATAACCTAATTACGGAACTTAGACAACGAGGTAGAGAGGAGGTGAAGATCCACTCGCTACAAAATATGGCAGGCAAAGTTTTCGGCGTATACAAGGAAGGAAGGTTTGAGTCATTTGAACATTATGAATTTTATCTAAAACAAAAATCGAACGAAATGGGCTGGCCCAAAGAAAGTATCTCGGAAGCAATTAAAATTGCTAAAATATTCCGCTTAGATGAAGAGTTCGGGAGACAGATGCTTTGCGGTCCTAATGCTCTGAGAATTAGAAAGGTCACTTCTCTGGAAACGAGGTGGGCAGAAGGGGCTGTTCCTGGTTACGCTTTAGAAGACAAAACCCTTCAAGATGCATTGGAAGAAGGCCATTTGTTCGAAGTTACATGCGATGAGTTAATGGACGTACCGCACGGTGGAGGATTCAGCAAGATGCTGACGGGAACTCAACAAACTTGGTACACAGTGCTCGCGGATTGTCTCCTGTATCAGAGGAGTGACAGCAAGTTGGTTCCTGTTCTAATCCGACTGGAAAACAGAAACGACAGAGAACCGGCAACCTGGTGGACACCCCCTGAGCCGGAGATAACTGATTTCAACGACCCTAAACATCTGGCCTGGTTGTTCGCTAAGATGTGGTTTAGAAATGCTGATATAAATTGTTACGCTCTCTGCACTCACTTCGCTCAATCCCATGCCACTAACGAGGTTTTTGCAGTTGCTGCTTACAGGAACCTGTCAAACGCTCACCCCATCTTAAGGCTCCTTCAGCCTCACATTCAGGGAATAATCCCAGTTAATGTCCAAGCGAGGGCCGTGTTAGTGAACCCTGGTAAAAACGCGTTTGCCTTGTTTTTGTCGGCTGGGGACAACATTAGGATTGTTTTCCATAATCACTATAAAACATTCTCTTACGAAGACCTGATTTTACCTGAAGATGTAAAGAAACGTGGTGTTCAAGATATTCCTGAGTATCTGTACAGAGACGATACTCTTTCTCACTGGGAAGTTATCCGGGCATATGTTGGAGAAATGGTGAACCTAGCATATCCGTCTGATGAAGATGTGGCCCAGGATGAAGAACTACAAAATTTTGCCAAAGACGTTGTTGATATCGGATTTCAAGGATACGAAAACGGTGCTGGTTTTCCACGAGTTGTTTCAGAAAGAGAAAAGCTCATTGAGTATATCACAGCAATCGTCTTCAATATATCTGTCTTTCACACAGCAGTAAATTTCCAGACCTTCACAAATTATTCCTTCCAGCCGAACGTTCCTTGCTGCATGACAATGCCTCCCCCGAATCAAGACTCGGAGATTACCATGGACCACATCCTGAAGAGTCTCCCTGTGTTAGAGGTCACCTTCTTTGCTATCAACTTAGCGAACGTGCTGGGTAGTTTCTCTCCTGTTGAGAGGTTCTTCCTGGAGGACCATTCAATGAACAAACTCGGAATTATCGGCGAGAACATGGCTGTTGCTCCGGACAGGAGGCGTGTATCCACAGATTAATCGAAAAGATGAGGCAGCTGAAGGCAAAAATAGACACCAGAAACATTGGACGATACTTAAAATATGATGTATTGAGTCCGACCAATACTCCTATAACTACCCAAGCATAGTGAAAATGGCATTAGAAGGGCGGAGCTCAATCTATCGTCAGTATTGTGTTGTCGATTACGCTCTTTATCTTCAGGTTTCTTCGAAATATTTATATTTTTGAGCTATTCTGTTTGTCAAGAATAGCTGTAGCTGCCCTCCAAACTCTATTTTGGTTTAGCCGAGCACTAACACAAACATTTCATAATATTCAACGGAAAGTTGCTGTTGCTATAATCAAAAATAATAATCTTGTCAATGAGGCGATTTTATTAGAAAATTAATATGATTGGTGATCATCTTTAAGGACTTAAGAATAATATTTTCTAATTATTCGGTTTTTTAAAAACAGAACGTAGTATTCAAAATCCACCAATGTTAGATTAAAATGAATTGATTGATTGGGGACTGGACCGTAGTGCCAGTCAATGTTTACTCAAAGATATATAATTACAATAATATGAAATCCCCTCAGGGCACGAAAATATACATATATTTATGATAGATAATAACTCAATTCATAAAATCTCACAACCTTAAGCTGTTATAATGGCGCTTCAATTTCATGTTGAACGAGATGTATTTTGATAATATTGATGGAATGGTTGTGTTTGGCTTTCTTTAATTTCCTTCAGAATATGCATGCGAACGATGAGTTTTTCAATAATTTCCACCATAAATTTTAATGTAAACAATTTGAACAAAATTCTTTTATATTATTGTTTAACATGCGCCCAATCAATAATTAACAGTCAAACAATTGAGGCATTTAAAGCTAATTTAATACACGATTTAAATATGTTAACTATTCATTACTTGAAGCTAGAAAAGTATTTCTTGTAAATTTAAAATTCTTATCAAGAACTCAAACTGTTGATCGTAATTTACGTAGGTAATAGTTGATGCTAATCTAGGAGAAAACTGTCAAACTGCTGTCTGTCTAACTTCTCCACTTGTGCTCGCAAGCTGTACTCCTGCCCGTGTGCATACTGAAATTAGCAATTAATTATTGCCAACTATAAATTATGAATTGGACTATTAATTATTCAAGATTAAGTGCTATAACATTCGAAGTACATTTACAATCGAGGGTTGAAATGTTTAACAGGATGATGGGGAGTCGCTTAATGTGTGGAAGAGTTCAATATTTCAGTTACTTGACAAATTTGTTGTTATTACCTCTTCTTCTATGAGTCAAGTTCATCTCTCGTGCGTATGGCGTACCTGCAGAAAATTTCGTGTTACCATTTACAATACAAAGTTTTGTAAGGGTTTTGAAGGGTTCCCAGCAAATCTGTTAATCGAATTCTAAACACAACACAGTTATTTTATCTGAAAAATCTAGTTGTTATTTAAATTTAAACGCTTTACCGAGGCTGCAAGGCATCCACCGCAATAACTTTATCCTTGACCAGAGAAATTCTCTAAAACTAGTCAGAGTCAAACAGTATATGTAGAAATTGCTGATGGTGTTCAGGGGAACGAAAGACTGGGCGATCTTGAAATAATGCCTCTGGAAGAAACCGAGAGGGTCGTCACTCGTCGTAACATGTTGGTCCGCTATGCGGTAAACTGCGTAAGGAATGGTTGAGATGCAGTAAACTGCAGCAGTTAGCCCTATTGTCATGATACCTTGCCATTTCAAACATTCTTCACCCCGGCGAGCTACTCGCTTAGCTATTACCAGTAACTTTATTGAGCCAGTTAGGACTAGACAAGTTGGAGCAGCGATGAAAATCGTTGATATTACCAGTGTCAGCCAGTTCCAAACTTTGGAAGACATGTGGTAATCACAAATATAACTTCGGAAATCGAATGAGACATCATCTTTATCGACTATAAAGAATACCAGTGCAATAAGGCTAGAGAACACCCAAGCTGCAGCAGCTGTCAGATGTGCTTTCTTCACGGAAAGCTGCCTGGTTTGGAAAGGGTACTGAAGTGTAAAGAGCTTAAAAAACGTCATGGCACACACGAGATAAACTCCAACCGCATTCAGATAATATGCTACGTAGGGATTTGTGTAGCACAGGGTGTCCCCGAGTATCCAGCCGTTGGCAAACAATGAAATCGTGCGAGGGATCACAAAAGTTACTGTCACCATTAAGTCACATACTGCTATGTATTGGATGATGACGATGATAGCTTTATGAAGTTTGAAAACTTTGTACTTGATGGACGCTACAAGAATAGTTGTGTCTCCTATAAGGGAGGAGAGAACCACAAATAGGAAATATCCTGCCCAAGTGTATCTCACTGCATCACTTTTTATACCATACAAATCATGGTCAGAGTATTTGTTAGCTGTGCTCATGATTTAGGAACTACGAAACAAAGGACGTGTACCATCAGGAAAGTATGAAAAGGGGAATATTTAGTTTGGTGCGCTTCATCGGATCTTCTTTTTGTTTTATCTACTCATTTTACACTTTCAACACTTTTTATAGACAATCATGTCATGCACTCGCATGTGTAGAAAATTAGGCCTCAGGCTATTTTTATTTCCTAAGAAAAACCCACGTTCAGAAGTACATTTGGCAACACATGTAACGAATTTCAGGATTCAACTGACGTGTAATCGTCTATGTACTGTTTAATAACTTGTTGAAAATCACCGTACCTAATCTATCTCCGTACCTAATCTATCTCATATCATAATTTCTAAAACAGGACCTTACTTTAAAGCGGGATGTTTAAACTCTCAATGTGCATTGGGAATACTTCTTAGCTCCTTTCTCATTATCCGACCCTTCTCTATATCACCCCTCGTACCTGCCGAAACACAAAGTTTTGTATGGGGTAGGGGCAGACTTAGTACAAATATTTAGAATAACATTATCATCTGATTAATTTTGTCGATTTTAAATATTTTGATACTGAAGACGGTTCAAACCGACAGTAAATTAAGGAGCCAAATTTGTTAATTGTAAGATAGATGCATAATCTTTACTATACCTCGACTGGAGAAAGTGTCTAACGATATTTTCTGATGAGATTGCCTTCTCTTGGTTCCTGACCTGAGGAACTCTCTAAAACTCGCCACTGTCAAGCTGTAAATACAAAAGTTGCAAATAGTGTTCAGGGAATAAAAAGAGCTCACAAGCCTGTAGAAAGTTGTGTAGAAAAAACTCTTGCTCTTGTCATCCACATCGATTACTGATTCACCGATACGATACACGGCGTAAGGCAACACCGAGATGCAGTAGACTGTTGCTGTAAGAACTGTTGTTGCGATACCCTGCCATTTTAAACTCTGACGACCTCTTTCTGCTACCCTCTTAGCAATGATCAGCACGCCGACTGTTGTGGTGATAACAAGACAGGTAGGGATAACCAGGAAAAGTACTGAGGTCACTGGAGTCAGCCATTTCCATACGTTTGATGAATTCTGGAAATCACATATATAGTTACGAAAATCAAAAGAGACATCACTCATGTCAACTATAAAATTCATGATCGGAAATGATGGGGACATTGCCCAAGCGGCTATGCAGATAAAATGGGCTTTTTTCGATGACATAGTATTAGATTTAAGTGGGTACTTCAGAGTAAAAAGCTTGGTGAAAGTCATGGCGCAGATTAATAGAGCTCCACTCGAGTTAGCAATGTACATTGTGTACGGATACACGTAGCACAAAGTGGCTCCTAGCGCCCATCCGTCAGTCATTATAGCAGCAGATCTGGGGACCAGGTAAATGAGGGACTGGATCATATCGCTGACTGCGATGTGTTGGATGATGATAACCATGACTTTGTGAAGTTTGAAAGCTTTGAACTTTATAGATGCTATAAGGATAATCGTATCTCCTATCAGGGATGAAAGGATTACAAACAGGAAATATCCCGCCCACATGTATCGTTGTGTGTCACTTTTTATTCCGTACATGGTTCTGTTGTTGAAATTGAAGTCGTGGGGTCTCATCACTGCGGCTAAAGGAAGTTAGATTGTAGAAAGTCAACGTTATTAACTATTAACGAGATAAAATAAAATGAGAATGGAGCAAAAATTGTATGCCATTTATAGCAGTCTAAGCAACATTAAAATAAATACGATCAAATATTTTAAGGAAGCCTTATAGTGCAATGAGTAGTAAAAACAACCGGCAACCTGGTCAAAGTTTTGTGAACACTGGTGACTGGTCTATATATATATATATATATAATTAATATAAGGTTAATGCTGTGTTTGGATCATCATTGTATTAAAGGAGACTTAATTTAAATAGAGCGACAACAACTTGAACTATAAATCCAGAGTTGTATTAAAATGGATATATTATAATATAGTACATTCTCGGATACGTGATGTGTCACATGCCACGGAACATGATCCCTAATATACGGCACGTGCTGCAGCACATACTACGTCACATACCATGATGCCACCATTTTGAATGTTTACACGGACTGAAATTAAAATTGAAATCTCTCATAATAAATCATGGCATCGTTTACAGCGTACACTCATCAATCAAGTCTTGTGAGTCGCGAGGAATGAATATTGTTCATGTAATTGAATAAAAAATAGCCGATAGACACTATACAGATAGACCCATATTACCCTTTCTTTAATGAGCAAGTGTCTCATTTACTAGAAATTACGAACATTCACCACTCTGCACACCAAACCAAACTGATACCTGAGTAGCTGTAGTATATTGTGTATATTGGTCATTGGAGCATGGTTTTTGAAGATTTTACAATTAACAAATCGCATACAGAATCTGTAAAATGTAGACTGGTCGCTCTGTAGAATGAGTAATGAACGGACAGGGCGGGTCAAAGCTATTAGGACTTGATACAAAAAACAATCACTAAAATGCATGCAATTGCAAAACTCAGATCACAAAGCCTTCCTTCTACGGTATAACAAACAGTTTTGCTAAACTACTATTATATATGTAATGTATTATTATATGTGTTAATTCTTCCAGCTCCTTGATTCATATTATCGTGAGTCTGTAGTTATATCATAATGTTCGCATAGAATTAGTGTCAGGGTCAATTAAATTGAAAGTCATTGTTCTGTTACGTTATGTTGTTGTACAGACAGTACTCACAAAAAAGATGTGTAAACGCATAAAGCTACAAAATGTAACTTTTCACGGGGTCTCGTTCCAGTTCAACAAAATATTAAAATGTCCTCGACAAACTCTGTGCAATTATTTACCTTGTTGCCTTGAGCATCGGGAAATTAGGGCAGTTGATGGAAATAATTCTGTACATTTATATGAATTATGATCAGCTCATATGATCACTTACAGTACAGATTCAATGATTAAAGTAATATTGGTAATATAATTACACAATATCCATCAAATACCTAGATAGATAATTAAATATCTGCTAACTCAGAAATCTAATCTTACAGACGTCAGGATCAACGGTAAAGGAAGAAGCTCAGTCCCCCTCAGCTGCTATTATCAACAAGTCGTACAAGCAGGGAGATCCTCATCTAGCTCCTCCACCTCGCTCTACCACGGTTTGTTAGGACACCATTTGTCTTCTTACTTTGACTTTTACGCTTTATTCCGGGACAAACGATTTGGTTTGACTCAGAAAATTATCCATTGATTTTCGCCACTTTGTTCTACTTTTAAAATAAAAATGTAACAATTTTCACATGAGAAATTGCATTCGTATTCATTTACATATGATTTAGCATTAGCATATCTGTAATATTCGTTAAATTGCTACTCAGATAAACAAAAGAGTAGAGATAGTGTACACAGGGATAACACCTGACAGCGCTTCTAAAAAGAGCATAGCCGCTCTGGATGGGTTTATCTCCAGCGATATCAGCACTTGTACTCACCTGGTCACTGACAAGGTGGGAACTGGAAAAATTAGTTAACACATTTTAGAAATCTTGTTACATTTTAATTTCAATATGAGTTTAGAAAGCATGTGTCAGTGTGTACAGCAACAAGAAGAACTTGGGTAATTTTAGATTTAAATCTAAACAGTTCTAAAAGACGATAATCTCTTGTTCATGTCATGTTATTATTAAAGTTTGGAGCAGTGAGAGCTAATCGTGTTCAAATTCTTTCAGATAAAAAGAACATCTAAATTCTTGTGTGCCATTGGTCGAGGAATTCCCATCGTCAGTGAAAACTGGTTGAAGGAGAGTAAGAAGAGCAAAACGTTTCTCGGTACGTTATTTAAAAAATAATAAATGCTTGAAGTAATATGTGTTACACCTAGTTATAGAACTTTCTATACCATTCAATTATAATTTATCATGCAACTTTAGCGCCCATAAATTGAGCAATACATGATTGATTCCACAGATGCCGCCGACTTTTTCATCAAAGACAAAGAAACAGAGAAGAAGTACAAGTTTGTCCTGACACAGTCCCTGACAAATGCTCGAACTTGTCCCTTTTTGTCCGGGAAGAGTGTGTTTGTGACCAAGTCCTGCGAACCTACTCCCGAACAGTTCCAACCCATTATTAGTAAGTAACCAACTAAATCCCACTTACTCTTCCGTAAAACTGCTAAATCCCACTTACTCTTCCGTACAACTCATTAAAACTCCTAAATTTCTGCCGCCCTAAAAAACTCCAACTCTAAACTCGAATCACCCTGACATTTGACAACCTTTTCCCAGGTTGTAACGGTGGCACGATGCTCAAGAGAGCTCCCAAGGCCTCAGATCGCAACGTCATCATCATCGCTGCTTCAGACGACAAATTGACTACGTTAAAGAAATGTGGAGCTCCAATTTGTACCCCCGAACTCGTTCTGACTGGAGCCTTGAGGCAGGAGCTTTGCATCGACGAATTTTCTCTTCGGGAAAAATCACCTGATTTTTAACTTATCGTTTAGAAATCATAACATTGAGCTTCCTTGTCGATTATTAACGGTGCAACAATTCAAAGGGATAGTTGTGGGACTGTTTATACAAACTTATTTTCGACAAAAATGTTTTAGTGCAATAAAAGCCTCGATTTGAAAACTTGACAGTTTTTAACAACGCGCCTGCCATTTTTGGATTTTTAATCATGATAAACCCGATCACTGTTAATTTATTTTGTTTTGTAATCAACGCCTTACAATTTACATAATGCCATGACAACCTGCAAAACTGTGTATGATGATAATTATCAATTAATATATTAAACATTTTTTAGGGTAAAACCACTGAGGGTTTTCTAACCCAGTGAACAACTTTTTTAGTGTTAGCTAATCCATCGTTATTTATCGTATTTTATTGAAAGATTAACAAGAAAATTTCAATTGTTGATGGATGAATTGGGAAAACATCTAGATTGGATAATAATTCCGATTATTCAGCCTGTTTAAACTTTACAGATAACTTTCTTAATCTTATAATGTAGGTCTTGTATTTTAAGCTTTTCAAGATTGCCCCATTTGGTTTGTTAATTTATGATTTAGACAGAGCTCAACCTGAAATCCGAATATTCATTTTACTCATAATCATGAGTAAATGATACTATTAGAGTAGTTTGCAATCTGTTTCGCACGTTTTTATTTTTACTGAAGTTTTGTATTTGTTATGTACTTACTTACCATGTTAATGCTATTTCACCTTTGAAATGCTCTGTTTTACTTCATTTTATGTTATCTGATTCGACCTCTAATACAAATTACAGAGAAATTATCAAAAGTAAGAACGTGTGGCTAAATATTTGTTGAGATAGTCAAAGTGAATTAAGGATTACCGCTTATTCTTTTGACCTCAGAAGTTATTAATTTCATTCCATAACATTAACGGCTCCTAGCAGCTCCAATAGGTCGTATTATCATGCGCTGAGAGGCATGTGCAAATTGTGCATCCAAAGTCCATAATGTCGTTCGGATCCATCACATATACCGATGATGAGTTTAATGAAATCCAGGTTTTTATAATGTTGCAGATTAGTACAATATTAGAAATTTAATTTCTTACTCCAGTTGCTTCACAGTTATTAATTCTCGTCTCTAAACATCGAATGTACTCTTTTGCACATTAACAGATTCGGAAAACAAATTTTAACTAAAAGGTTCAATACCTTCAACACACCAGGCAGCACTGAGGAAGAGATTAGGAACTGATTTCGTAGCGACAAGGCCTGGTCCTGGTGGACAGAAACTATACTATGTGGAAGGCTGGAGGGTGGTTCAACTTGCTAACGAAACTTTTGGGTTTGATGGATGGGGCTATTCTGTTACGAACATGACTGTAGACTTCGTGGATCATCTGGCTGGTTAGTCAAAACAACGATTCAACCAAAACTTTGCCGAAGAAGGATTTTTTGCCTCGTCCAGCGGTGCACCCCTGATATCCAGGGTCTAAAAACGTTTGAAATACATGCAATAAAAATGTTATTGCATGTTCTTTCATCCATTTGCTAGCGCTTTTTTCTTTTTTTCGCTAGCGCTATGATCCGTTCAATGAATAAGCCAGTGGTCAGATCAGCATCTGTAAATATGCTTATATAGATCCGCTCGCCGTTGTATGATAAGAAATGACCACAACAAAATTGACCAAATTTACTTCCAGGCAAGTTTAATGTTGGCGTGTCGGCCACGGTGAAGGTTACCTTGAAGAATGGGTGCTTCAGAGAAGATGTTGGGTATGGCTGTGTGGATGGAATGAGGTGAGAAATTGTTTGATAATTTTACTCCAAGTTTCATTTCGAGGAATAGATTGGGTAAATTGTAGAGCTTTTAATTTGATGGAGAGTGTTTACAGTTTAAACTATGATATCAAAAAGATAAGTTGTCAAATTAATTAAGCATACAGAATAACAGTGAAACTATATTACTTTATTAATCTCCACGCTGTATAGCAATCACTGAAGGTTCATATATGATTCTATCAAATATCTCATCAAGGTGCCATGATATAAATATCAAATATTACATGACGTCACATTACATTTAATCCAGTCGAATTCTGTCGTCCCTGTTCTCGTTGAAATTCCTCCTCTCTTCTGCGATGCCTCAGCTCGTTCGCCTCTTTTTGAACTTTAGCATGTTTCTTTCTGTTCTTGATCTCCTGCAGCAAACTTTGGTTATTGATCATTTTTCTTAAATAAATGTGTCTTTGAAAATGTAAATAAAATAATCCATTCTGTCTCTGCCACACCTCTTTCTTTCCCTCCATACTTCAATGAAATTAAGAAAATATCTAAAATACTAACCATGTAGAGAATGAGAGCTCCTTTCCCTGTTGGCACTCGGTATCTAAACATAGCCTTGGTCAGAAGACACACTGCTTTTCCATTAAACCCAAACATATGCGGATCAATGTTCTGAATCTCGTATTTCCTGGAGCACCATCTTAGCCAAAACATCACTTCTGCTACACTCCAACTTTGTGGATCTGGGGGTTGAGAGGGATAATAATCTTCAAAAGTTCATCAATGGAATATGGATGAATCTGCAATCTTTTTAAACATTTTAACATTCTGCACAGGTACATCAATATGTCGTCATTAAGATTGACATGTGTTCATAAATGAATTTTGTCACCCATTTTGTCACGTATGAACTTACCAATTGGAAGTATAGGTGGTGTATTGGGAGCACTGTAGAATATCCTGGCAGCTTCAGTATTAGGTCTTTCTATTGGGGAGAAAGGGATCTCACCCGACAATAGCACTGAAAGTGAAAGTGAATTACTCAATTGGAGATCATGTTAGATTATATTCAAAATATTTGCTTTATTTGGTTGAACACACGTCGAAAGTTTATAACGTCCCAAAATATGGTTAAGAAATTAAAGAAATGTTGTCTTACAGTCAGCCAGAGTAAGAGGTTCTTTCTGAGGTGCTGGACTACTGGAGGGGCTCTCTTTCTTCTCGTATTGACAGCTTTTAGCCACTGGGTCGGGGCTTAGAACGTATCCTTGAGGAACAACGTAGTCTTTCTTTTGAATCTCGATATGTGGCTTCTTTCTTGGTGATCGGATCATATCCTTGCTCGGAATCAGACTTCTCTTGACATCGGTGTTCCCAGCATTGATGTAATGGTAGTGCTCTTTCAGATCAGTACTAACGCTCGATGCTGAATACATCTCCTGACAGCTGCTCTTGTAGTAGTTTACCTCGGATGTCATCTGAAAAAATATGAACTATGTCATTAACTGATTAAGGATATTAAGATTTAAGAACCACATAGGATTATACATGAATGGGAAATCAAATTCAAATATTAATACCACATTAAAAAGATATAATAAATCAAAAACCTCTTTTTTGCAATAGCTGTTTGAGTCGTAAGCAGAGTAGTTAAACACCTGAGCTATTTGTCGGTGTTCAAGGTGCGGAAAAGGAGCTTGGTTTCCAAGCTTACAGGAATTGTAATAACCACAGTACATTACTTTGTGTAAAATGTAGAGCGCAAGAACGGACAGGAACCTGCAAAATAATATTTATTAGAAGACTGCTTTGGATGAACAGCAGAAATATTATTTGGTAAATGGTAGTATAATAGTGTGTAAATGAAACATAAAAACTGCTCCATTATCCTTGATCAGATACCAACAATCCATTAATATTTTATACAGTTATTTACGTATATCTACTGTTAAATGAACACTTTTCACCAAAACAAATTTCCAAAATGTTTTTGGGATCACCCCCGCTGTCCTCAGAAAAACGACACATTTTGATTGGTGATACCGTTTTTTAATATTTATCAGTGTAGATTTTTTTCCTTTAATGTCTAATGTTTGTAACGATAGTAACATTTAGCTTTATGTAGAAAAGTTTAAATTGATCGATAATACTTACATCCCAGTTAAAAAATGTTCCGAGGTTGTGTTATAAAACTCCATCATTGATGACATGACTGTAATTTACAGCTTTTAAACAGAATATTCAAAAAATAACTACAAGTTCGTAGCTGCAGGTGGGGTTAGAGTCTTATAGTAATAGACAGAACACGGGTTACCAAAACGTTTGTTCAAAGTTAATGTACCGCTAACTTAGTACGGACACCCCTTTGCCCCATGAACCTACAGGGTTGCCCAAAAGTAACTGCCCACACGCAACCCTTTAATAACCCACGTAATTCTTCTTAGAAATGTAATCTTAAATTTAATTAATTACAGTGGTTGTGGCACGCCACTCCCTCTTTTTCACTATTGTCACCATAAAGTGAGAACGCTTTCAGCTAGGAACTCCAAAGTTTCTAGACACATTTGGCTTGATAATTGAAGTGCTTTCCCCAAATTTTAAGTTGGTTGTTCACAATTTAATCGAGTTATGACCCTTTTAAGATCTTGCAGATATGTGATCCAGCACTTAATCAGTAATATCTTCACACAATCAATGCCCTGATTGGTTGGAAACTGCTTTAATAGGACAGCAACTGAAGCGCTATAAGTATAACGCAAATTGTTTCGGTTTTAAGGAACGTCACTATCAGTATTCACTCAAAGTGATCAGATTGTCATCCACCAACATGCTCGTTACCGCTTAATGAGTCTCATTTTTGCTCGCTAGCGAATAGCTCCCGATGAGATTACTGATTGGTGACGAAATCACTGATTAAGTGCAAAAATCACGTATCTGCAGTATCTTAAAAGGGTCACAACATAAGTGGAAGAGTGGCAACCATACGATTCATTAAGTAAGCTTTTTTAAGACATAACTTTATTATTTTATCCTAGTGTAAAAAATGGCTCAATATTGAAATTACATATTTAATTCTTTACTCCGAAGACCCCGAAGGTCTAATTCTATTCACCGATTTGGCCTCAAAAGGAGCGAACTTGGGATAATTTTATTAATTTATGGATATCCGCGAGGTTATTTCTTTTCTCAAAATCACCATAAAGTCGTTCGGTTATATTTTTATTCTGTACTCAGACTGATATTGAAGATGTATATCGTTGAACAAAAATGACATAATATTCTGTTGCGCTTCTGTAAGTTTCAAATTTCTGGTCAATATAGATATGATTATACAGAGGGTATAGCAGCGTGAGCAGCGGCAGAGTTAAATTCGTGACGTACGAGCCTAACCTATAATATGATGGTGCAGTTGTCAAATGGCAACTCCCTTAAACTTAACCGGCTGCATTGTATATGAAAATGAAATGAAGTGTTGAGTAACTCACCGAAATAGTTTCCACTGAAAAGTCAAAACAAAGCTGGGAATGAAAACTGGAAATGGCACCTTGTATTAGTGGACCCGCGTTTATTTAAGGAAGCTGATACAGATTCACCATTGTTTTTGTTACCTATTATGGACAAAACAGAGACTATGTTCATATTGACCTTAGGGAACACCATGTTACAGACCGAATTCATGTCATCCAATGTTATCATTGCCAGGAATTTGGTCACATGGCTAACTCCATGTACTGTAAAGCCAAAGATAAAGACCCAACATGTTTCTTCTGTGCAGGAAACCACAAGTCAAAAGACTGCAGAAGCAAGAGTGAAAATATTGTCACAAAGATAAAGTGCTCTAACTGTGCCAAAAGTAGTAAACACTCGGAGAAGAACTCAGCAAAGACCCATAAAGCCTCTGACAACCTATGTCCCTCGTATGCGACAACTTGCAGATCGTTTATGCTTGACTGTTTAATTGCTTTTGTGGGCGGCCTCCAGTCACTAAATGCATCATTTACTGATGTGTTCATTTGATTTGATCCTTATGGAATCCATTAGAATCTAATGGATTCCATAAGGATGGCATTAGATGAACCATTAATATCATTACACCTCTTAACTGCTTCTACGCAGTTTCGAGTAATTTAATACTCTATGCGTATGGAGCATAGTTCATAATCAAGAGAATTATGGTTTGATTTTGATACTAGGTCAAGAATAGATTAAACGAAAAATCTTAAAGCTCATGTCGGGTCCTCGTTAAGGTTTACATCTGATCGACGGTCTTATATTCAAACACCAACTTTTCGCCCCTTATTTACTGTACCTTATGTTGTCTTTTTAAATACTCAGTTCAGGGCTATATCCCACCAATTCTAAAGTCTACCCTTTCATCATCGTGGACGGTAATCTCCAAATCTTTAAAAATATGCCTTCTAGCTGAGTGCAAAAATTTGCAAAAATAAAGCAAATCATTTTACTTGTAGATGGATCATAAAGACCGCTTAAACGTGTTTATTATTATACAACCCTTTTGTTTCCTGATTCAACAATTGTTTTGTCTTATGGATAAAGCTATAAAGATAAAGATGGTGCTGGGTCACGATAAAAGAGACAGTGTTCATGGACTTAGATATTTTTTACTGGTCAATATGATCTGTGGACTATGAAACCAAACAGATATGGAAACAGGATAAGCTTTCACAATGTGAGAAGTTGTTCCAAGACCCTCTTTGAACCCCAATTAAGCCTCGGGTTTTAAATTTTTAGATTGTCATCCTTTTATTTCACGAAGAACATTTGTTCTGTGTTGTAATAGACAGGCTGCCTCTACTTTGGTCTAAGATCATGTTTATCTTAAACACTTCACAGAAAATGAATCCACATAATATCATAAACTGATCAAAAGGTAAAGATTTAATATTTTAGTCACTATGGTAACTTGGAAAATTTGAAACACTCATTATCACTTTTTGGTAACCCATGCCACTGTATTACACATTTAGTACATTAATACTATAAGTTATAACAAA